TTAACTTTTTTTTAAGTAGTTTGAATATGAAATTTGGACCACATGCTATGCTGAGCTGTGTCTACACTGGCAACAACATGTTGTTGTCTTTTTTTTTCTTGATATTAAACCAGAGGGGCGCCTGGCTGGCTCAGTCAGCAGAGCCTGCAACTCGATCTTGGAGTCGTCAGTTCAAGCCCCACTTTGGGTGTAGAGATGACTTAAAAAAAAAAAATGTGATATTAAGCTGGAAGACCTTTTCATATGGTGACATCAGATGTTCTTGTTCCTGGTTGGAAATCAGAGTCAAGCAGTGACTCTGTCACTTTGTCATTGCTTCTCTCAATCTCCAAGCCACTCCTAATTTGAAGGTTAAGATTCTGTATCTTGAAACATAAGTCTGTATTATGGCAAACAATTGGATTTATCAGGGGAAACAGCAGTCTTAGATTTTTGCTTTTTATATAGTAATCTTTTGCATGAGCCATCACCAGCATTCAAAAAAAAAAAAAAAACACAAACTCAGAATGGCAGATAGAATCTACTTTCTGAGCTACAGTTTAAATACTTCCAGTACTTGTTTCCATGCTGATTATTTGCAGTTTTCACAGGAAGGATAAAAACTTGAGATCAAAGACATAAGGAAAAGCCAATTTAAAAACCTCTGCATTCATGGATGTCTCTTTCTTTTGTCATTGGCCCAAATTACAGCAGCCAATATTGAAAAGAGTTTGGATTTTTATCAAGAATTGATTTGTCCACATAAAGGTCTGTGTAAATGATAATGTGAAAAGATACTACATTTAAAATCTCTTATTACAAAGTCATGCCTGTTTTAGAAACACCCTCATCATATCACCTTCAGTGTCTCTGTATCTGATTTTTGGAGGTTCTGATGTTGCTATTTGCTGTCTATTTATTTAATGTAATTTAAAGTGCAGGTGTCTTGACAAAATGTATTTCATGGCCATTGCAACTTGCCTGGTCTGACATAAAACATAGTGGTGAAGCCTTTAGACTGCAGTCAGATTGAATAAAGTTGTCTCCCACACGTCCTGATTTTGCATTACTCCCGAGAGTGCTGGGTACGGAGTCTGGGAGTTTTCTTTCTCTGAGGATTAAATGCTAAACCTTAAATCCGTGCTTTGTCTTCGTGAAACAAGGAGGCAAGCTGCACATCCCAGACACAGTCTCAGCCTCCCGCAGCAGTGAATTGATCTTTAAGCTGCCTGAACCTTCAGGACCCTCTTCTGATCCTCCTACCCATTGAGCCGCCTGAGTCCACACGTTGTAGCCTCTTACACGGCAGCACAAGATGACTTTGGGGTTATTTATGCTGACTTCAGTAGCTTAATTTCTCCTGATAAAGCATTCCCTGGGAAACAAAGTTGGGCTATAGGGGGAAAAAAAATTATCTTAGACAGTACATGTCAAAAGGGAGATGGGGTTTGCTGGAGACAAATTTCTGAATCCTCGTAGGAAGATGGTCCAGTTCAAGAAAACTCTAAAATTAATATGGTAAATTATGCAAGTTTACTATAATATGTTGTACTTTCAGTGTCTAAAAAGGTCAAAGAAGCAAAGAACTTGCTATCTATCTGATGACTACCATTAGAAGCATTTATAATTTCTAAGAAAATCCCAAAATATCACTCAAAACGGGTTTTGTTTGCAGTCCTCAGTTCAGAAAACATGCAGACACATGGATATATTCATCTTCCAAAATTGGATTCCAGCTTCAGAGATAGATAGTTGGTATAAATAATTGAAAGGGTAAATCTAAAACCTCCCGACAATTGGCCAAACTCAAAAATAAAATTTGTTGCCAACTATCTAACAAGGGTGTTTGCAGAGCTGCTTCTAAAGTAGCAGAGGATGAGGTCATAAGCATACTGTGAAATTGGAGCTTCTTCCTCCCTGGTAGAATTGTGATAGCTACTCTTCATAAATGTAGGTATTCTGAATCTTGCCCTCTTACTTCACTCTCTGTTTATCCTTTTAGACTTCAGTCTTACTGGAAATAGCTTGGATTAGAAGAACACCTCTTAGCTCCCGCTATTGATTCGCTTCCAGGGCGTGGCCATGCCCTTGACCTCCCTGGGTCAACACCCTACCTAGGCCCCCGCCCCAGCGAGGCCAGAACAGCCACCCTCTGTCTTTCCTCCACCTCCTGACCTTTTGCAGAGCTGCCCCGTGGTGACACATGTGAAGTTCTTTGCTATCCTTTCATAGAAGGTGCTGTGATACAAAATATAAGTATAACCTAGAGGAAATTGCTAAAATGTCACATTCCTTGGGACCAATTTGTTGGGTGAAGCTGCTAGAAGACACTTAATTTGTTTCACTTCTGCACTTCATTGTGAGTTTTTGGGATACTCTATGAAGGACTTCTTCAATTGTACTGACAACACATAGAGAAAAGAAGCTTCCCAGTATTACCCCTTATTCCTGGAACGTAGCCGTCCGTAGTAGTCCTCACCTAGTATTAGATAATCTGCGTACAGGACGTATACAGTTATTCAGGTTAATGTTTCATATTAAAGAATGTATTTGTAAAATGTAACAAGATCAGTAGTTAACTTTTTTTAAGCTCTGAAAAAATAAAGATTGTGTTAGACTTAACAATTACAGTGAAATCTGTCTTAATACTACTACTTTTGTGGCTAACAAAGGTTGTGCATTTATGTAAAAATATTTACAGAATGCCCTCAATAAGGGATAACAAAGATAGGTTTTGCTTTTCATTTTTAGAATCGTAACACCGCTGCTGTCTGTGATACAGTTATTAATTCTTCAGAAGTTTCTCTAGGATGTCAAATATAATTTTTGTTTCTTTCAGAGACAACACCTGCTCTATGATTCGTGATTACAGTTAACTCTAATTTTGTCATTAAATATTTTAACTCTGTGATGAAAGTTTGTTTCTCGCAATTATTTGTCAAATTTGTAAAACACGACCCAAAAGGCAGGCATCCTCATGCTTCTGATGCTGATGGGAAGATCTTGTGGGCCTCCGGAACACCTAAGAGCTAGGATTAGCATAATGATAGCATTTCCTTATATGTGTTTAATGGGAAAACTTGAAACATTAAAAAAGACCAAAGAGCTAACCTTCATTTAGACAATGAGCTTCTATCCAGCAAGAGGGGGTTTTTTGGTTGGGTTTTTAGTTAGTTTGTTTGTTTGTTTGTTTTTTCCTTCTCATGGGCAAAGGAATTAAGCCGATGAACAATTCCCTTTGTGCTGATACTGGTGATGCGCTCAACTCAAACACCCATTACAGCATGTGCCCTCATTCCGCAGACTAGTTCCATGCCCTGTTAAATTGGAAAGAAGACTTGATCAAATTATGTCAATTTATTTTTATGGAAATAATGACCGCATCACTCGTTTGTTTTCAAGGGAAGTGACTTGGGTGACACAATACAGAGCAGCCCCCTGGGTTGGCGGGGACATGTGCTTTTAAGGAAGGCAGGACTCTGAAGTGTTTCCTGGGTGGAAGGGCAAGACTGTGGTCTCCAGTTTTCAGAGAAGAGAGGATAGAGAGATGGTAGATGAAGAAAGCAGCCCGAAGTTAATTATGTAGTGAAAGGCACCAGTTCTTGCAAACTAATTAAAAACCCATTGCCTTGCAGAGATGACTTTTTTTCTTAATATAATTTGTATTTGTTAGCCATCCTACCACAATTAATTCTCAATCTGGGGGAAAGATTAATATGATAAGTGTTTAAAAAAAAAATCAGTGGCGCCTTCCCCCTTGCTGTCAGTAAGGATGTGCTTAGGAAAAACTATTGACCCATCATAATCACCATCTGCCTAAACAAACAGATTGAGGGCCGGGAGTGGGGGAGGTAGAGAGAAGAGTGGGAAGAAAAATACCAGAAATAAATTTCAAACAGAAATGCAAATGTTTGAGTGTTATTTCTGTTGATATCCATTCTGCATGCCTCTTCCCCTGGCACTGGTGAGCTTGGGTGGCGGCTAGACACATGTCTGCACACGCACATACATTTGCACATGCACATACGTCTGCACACGCACATGTGTTTGCACGTGCACACACGTCTGCACGTGCACATACACCATCCACACACCTGGCAGCAGGAAAAGAGCTGAGCTGTGCTCCTAAATGCCCCTGCAATTGCTTTGTGACACCTCCTTGCCCTTCTGGACATGGCTAGGCAGGTGACAGTATTTCCAGGGGTCATTAACACCAGAAAATGCCTCAGATGGGCCATTATCAGAGTATGAGAAATGTAAAGATGTAAGAGACACGGGAAAAGAAGACATCCCACCCACAAAGCAAATCTCAGGTTCTAATGCACTAACAGCCCTCTTGTACCGAGGTGGTACGGAAGGTGGATTTTCCTTTGATTTGCTTTTTAAAAATCCAGGACTTACATATAAAATGATTTTGCATAGCCAGAGCCAGCCTGATGCAAAATTAATCTTCATTTTTACCTCCCCACCAACCTTTCTCCCCTCCGTGCCCTTCCGCCTTGCTGTCCGACCCTTTCTAAATCCTGCTTCAGCTAACGGCTCCTACGTGTTACCAACCATAAAGGACTGGTTCTCAGTGGTTTCCAACAGCCTCCATCCTAGCTGCATGACAGTCATTGGGGAGTTCTTAGAAATGCACACATTTTACTCCCCAACTCGCCTTCTTGGTGTCCCCGGTCATCTTGTCTTTTGCAAAGAAAAAAGAAATGACTTAAGCAGGCTCCGGATGGTAGGGCACCTGGC